TTACCATCCTTAAACTTTCGGCTGAGGCCAACAGCTGCTAGCATGTTCTCTTGGAAAACATAATGCGTATCGGGGAGCCAAGTCTCCGGGATATGCTGCATTCGGCCGCTGCCCCCCCGGTTCGGCAGCTTGCCGAAGATATGTTGTTGATCAAGGTTCGGATCTGGCTTGTTATCTGCGGGGGGACCTAGACTTCCCATCTCGGGATCAGGCTCAGCAAGGTACCGGGGAGCGCTGAAGACGCAAGGGTGGCCCGGATCTGTGGGTGCCCTAACCCAAATCCATTGACCTCTCCAGTCCTTGTCTGAAGAGTCGTTCGACCACATGGTTAGGTATTGGGGCCGGGACTCAATCCGGTACCACCCAGAACCATGGCTTCCGTGCCCACTTTGAATATTTGGCACTAGCCGATGAAGCTTTTTGAAGCAGTGCAGGTTCGGCACATACTTGAAAAACTTGCAGACCCATAAGTATGTCATCACCCTTCGGATGCTGGTGGGAGTTAACTGACATAGGGAGATATTGTAATGGATCAGCAAGTCTCGGACGAATACGTCCACAGGGAACCTCAGCCCGTACTGAAGCTGTCTTGTATACACCCCCACATACCCCGGGGGTGGACGATGGATTCTATCGGATGCCGCGGACATTCGACACCAATACCCATCAGCTTCAAAAATGCCGTAATGCAACTCAATTTGCTCGGCAAACCGATATTGTTCGGCATTCTCCACCCACCATGAGTAGGGGCGGTTCTTTATCATGGCCGAAGCTACTTCGGCATTCTCCCACTCTGAAAACCCGGGGAGGATATCCCAAAGGACAGCGGGAACTTCATCGTCCCGTCCAGAAGCGCTCGGCCCCTTCGTTCTCTGAGGAGGAGCCGAGGAAATTGGAGTCGCCTTAATCCCTTCAGCAGGGTCAGACTCTGGCCTTTGTCCATTCCAGGTCCCAATCCTGTTCCTAGGATCGGGAATCGGCCTTGCTCTTCTTGGAGCACGGGCTCTACCTCTAACTCCTCTTGCCATTGATTATTTCGAAGAAAGAAGTCGAAAAAAGGGAAGGAGTTCGAATTCGAAGAAAAATAAACTGAAATCAAAGGAATTTACCTTAATCTGAAGCGAAAGTTGCCGATTTACGAGTTCGTAGTGGCAAGTCTCAGTTTCTAAGCTTAATGCTCGGGGAATTTGCGAAGTTTTGATGCGGGTTCTTGGTTTCTCTCGAGAATTCTGGGTTTGTGTTGGTGAATAAGTGAGGAGAGATGACGCGCCTCTGTTTATATCTCCAGGAATGGAATACGGAGAGTCCGCGTTTCAATTTCTCTTAAATACCCCACTAAGTAACCGTTAAACACATGATCTTGTGATTAAACTGCCCATTATCCGTCCAACTTCCACAATCATCCGCCTTAACCGTTGTTATCTCATTAATTACGGTTTAAATTCAAATTTTTTGGATTAATTAAATCATTTACTTCCCTCCTTTTCTGAATTAAATCAAACCCGACCCGTCATCCTTCCAAATCGGGTCTGGGGGGCAAGTTGTTTGGGTCCAATTTAGTCCAATTGGGCCTAGGCATTAAATGATCCAATTAAAAGCCCAAGGTCAAGGTTCAACTCTCCAATTGTGCAAAAGTCAAAGGTCAGCCCTCAAAGCAAGCCAATTGGGCTAAGGCCCAACCTCTCCATGTATGAAGAGGTATAAAAGCCATCAATATTCATACATTCATTATGTTGATTCATTCACATATTCTTATATACATTCTCATATATTCAAGCAAAGCCTCAAGCAACTAATTCTCTTGCATAGTGTTCTCTTTCTACACATTGTACTGACTTTAGCATCGGAGGGACCTTCCTCGGCAACACCCCCGAGGCTAGTTTACGTGTGTTTACTGTGCAGGAAACCTTCGGCCCAACATAACTTGGACCGAATCTAGTCTTCTCCGTTTCAGCGGACCTTCGGCAAGGTCCCATTGTTTTCACCCGAAACAGGGGTGATGAAGAATTGGACAAACTTTTTGGCTGAGTCACAATGCAAATGGAGGTGTTATGCCTTATATTCACGGAGCTTTGCTTCCCATGAACACCAGCAAATCTGAGAGCAATAACGGCGAAAAGCTGTCTAAATCTAAGTAGTTTTCGGGTTTTTGATTTGGGGTTTTCAAGAATATGTGGATTATTTGGTATAGCTTGTTTATGGTTGGTAAAATATATTAGTAAAAGTCAGGAGTAAATGAAATTAGAGGGTTTTAGTTGATGTAATGTGTGATGTTTTTGCTTATTGAACAATATGTTTACTAAAAAAAGCCTGCTTGGTACTTCCTAATTACTGCAATTTGTTCCTTCTGTTTTGGATTGTTTTAGATTACGAGCTTACGTGTTAATTGACAGTAAACCATCAAAAATACTGGTATTTGCTTTCACTTATTCAAATTTTGTAATAAAATTCTGTTTTGATACATTTATGGCTATCTTAGTAAGATATACTATGTTTTTACTAGTTATTTCTTGAACATACTCGGTCTTTTACTTTATAAGAGAATTTAATGATGTTAATTAGTCCTAATTCAAATGGAGTAATAAGTTCTTTTGGTTGGAACCTGGAAGGGAAAATGAAGTGAGACAGTTGGAAAAATTGAAATAGGTAGCAGTTCAACGGAGGGATAGATCGAAGAAGATGGGTGGTTTTCCATTGCTATTATGTCTATCAATAGTATAAATATAGAAGTGACGAGTGATGAACAATCGAGGAGAAGAAAAAGAAGCCAGTAGAATTAACATACTCTATAGCCTAATTCTTTTGAGCTAAATTGAACTGAAATGAAGTTAAAATAAACTGAATTGAAAGTAAGACAAAAGAGTAGGGCCTTGTTATGGTAAAATTACGATATATGTAAGAGTATGGTTATCAACTAAATACTACGTTATACGTATGTCTTTCTATTAATGGTGTTGGGTGCTTCATTTCAAGCATTGAATCAAGCCTGAGTTGAAGCAATCGTTCGACCTCGAGGGGAAGGTAACTGCACAAAGAAAAGGCTAGGGAAATGGAATATATGGTTGTGTCTGTTGTCCTTGACTCGTTGACATATGTGTGCCATTCTTTGCAATGGTTAGCCATTGTGGTTGTCCTTGCTTATTGGAGTTCCGAACATTATTTGGAGAAGCATTGCATCTATCAGAAATCTGAGACTCAACGTCAATGTGTAGTTCTAATTGCAGGTAATAAACTTATCTTTACGTCTTGTTTGTTTTATGTAGCACAGAAAGTCTAAAATGGCTCATGTATTAAAACAGATAACCTGAAGTCCCAACCATCTCCGATCATCATTAGCACGGAAATGGCGGGGTTTCGTAAACAGCTGATGGGGAAACCTCAGGTCTTAGAAGTCAAGTTTCCATGCTTCTTAGCTTCTTGTTACATAACCATTCCTTGATTAATGATTTAATGAAGTAATTACCAGTTTCCCTGCAATCAGAGAACTTCAAAACTTGCATAAGTAATGTCTTAAAAGTTTTGTTGATTGAAATCGTTAAAAATTTTACAGTATCGATGAAAAAAAGAAAAAGCATATTAAGGTGAATTGGAGATTTTTTCAATTGCAAGGGAGTTATTTTCATAGAAACTTTTATGATGTATTGGGGATTTATTTGTGTATAAATTTTTGAAGAAAATCTAATGTCATTTTGCATAGTAATGTGAGTCCATCTCCATTGTCGCATTTTCATCATAAACTTTCATTATGATAGAGGTGACAATGAGTGGTACTGGAAATTTACAAAGAAAAAAAACATGTTTGGAGATACTATTTACTAATATGGACATATGGTCATGGTGTCATGGTTAGTAACTTAGTAAGATGATATCATATAGCTGCAAGCCTGCAAGGTATACACTTTGTTACAGCTATCAGGAGTACATTTTCTATTTGGAGTTGGAGTGCAAATAAGCATATATACGTACTACTATATGCTATGTGCTTCCTCTATTAGTTGTAAGATGGGTGGAGTAACTCAGTAAGCTGTAAGCCCCTAAACTTATACTAGATTACAGCAAATTGCATTGTGGAATTGTTTGAAAAAAAAACAGAGCGCAATGTGGGATAGCTCACATGTGAGTTTTTGGTAAGTACGTAAATGTCTTAAGATCATTAAAATTTACTTACAAATTTTAATTAGGATCAGTAGTCAGAAATTATGTGTCTGGATTAGGATCATTAGTTATTTGCCAGTGTGAAAGAGATCAAGAAGGATTGCAAGTACATACGTGTCTGAGGTTTGGATTAGTCAAAATTTAATGAATGGCTAAGATTTGATCTATTATAATGACTACAATTTTAATGTAGCCATTTGAAAACTATCCTGTATATTAAAGTAATTAGTAATTTACATACGTGTCTTAAGACCATTGGTAGGTACATACGTGTCTTAAGACCATTGGTAAGTACATGCGTGTCTTAAGACCACTGGTATGTACACACGTGTCTTAGGACAATTGGTTTTTATCGATGAAAGAAATCAAGAAGTTATGTAATAATGTTTTTATCAATGAAAGAAATCAAGAAGTATATGTAATAATGTTTTTAATCATTGAAAGAAATCAAGAAGTATATGTAATAAAGTTTTTATCAATGAAAGAAATCAAAAAGTATATGTAATAATGTAATTACATATCTCATGATAATTGGTAGATTAGATTATATATTGCCCAAAACAGTACTAATTTATTTTTGGTACCTACAAGAGGTTTAGCAAAAGAATCTTTGGTTAGTAGGTGAAGTTCTCAAACAAAGGCTACAAAGTTATAATATACATTTGATGTCATTATCTTCTGATTAGATCTCCTTCAATTTTGTTTTGTTAAAATTCTGAATCTTTGACAGCTTATCTAACCACATTAAGACAAATTCTACACATTATTGACTAATTGTTTACTGTCAATTTGTTATTAATACACACTAGCATTTGCATGGTATATAACTCTTTGCAGGAGTCACTTGTTAGCTCACCCTGCTTATTGTCTAAAGCCGGTTTCGTAAAATGACTATTGAGCATGACGAAGAAATTGGTGCAAGAGAAGCTATGCAAGACGTTAAGGAGCCATTAATCGAGCATAGAAAGATCAATGGCCACGAAAACAAGTCTTATTCTCAAGGCAATGGTGATAAAGGGTCAAATTTAGTTGTTTTTATTAGTACTATGGTTGCTGTCATGGGGTCCTTTGAGTTTGGTTCTTGTGTAAGTTCATTTAGTTCTTATGATTTCATCATTTACTGTTAATTAAATATGTGTTTGAAATTGATAAATATGCTTGTTAATTTTTATAGGTTGGATATACAGCACCTACTCAAACATCTATAATTAAGGACCTCAACTTATCAGTGGCAGAGGTGAGTGCAGTTTAATAATCTTAAGCTAATTATACTTTCGCATTCATAAATTATTTTGTAGCACGATCTGATATGAGACGGATTCATAATAACTTACCATTAGACGACACATGAGAAATTTCCCATTTTTTTTTATAAAAAAATCAGTTAATATTGTATGACTGTGGGCTCACAATAATTTGTCGTGAGATCAAAACACTTTTATTTACTCTAGGATGAATCGATTTTTTGAGTATTTTTTGATATTTCGTGATAAAATATTACAGTAAGACTTGCTTAGGAATATCTTTTAATATTTCGGGATAATTATTATGACTCAGCTCCACCTAAGACTTTATATATCTTGTTGGACAGTGATCAGTGAACACAGATTAGAGAGCCTAATGTAAAAGCCTGAGAGCCAAATATCTACTCGTATCTTTTATATGAAGAAAATAATCATGCATTTAATTTTGTCCAAGAAGATAAATTTCTGATTTAAAGTAAATGTAAAATATACTCTTTACTAATGATCTCTTTCCAGCTGGGGTAGTTACATTTTCTTGATTCTTTTCACATAGCCTTTTTTTCTGATTTATTTCAAATAAATTACACCAATCCACCAGGCCAGCATCAACCAGATAGATTGTAGTGGTGGTGTTTTGGAGAATTTGCAATTTCTTTAATACATCTGGGTGTACCTAGCTCTAGAGACACCCAAGGTTAGATTTCAGTCATATGTAAATTCCGGCTAGCTAAACAAGAGAGCTACAAATGAGTAGAAAATAGCCTTGGGCGTACGATCTAGGTACACCTGGGTGTATAATTTTCACTCTCAAGAGAATTTAAGTCTTCACAACAAGGTACCACATAACGACTAGTTCAAAATGCACTTATAGTACAAACGGATATATATTCAATGTCTTTAATGTCATTGTAGCCATTGCATCAAAAAGATCCACACCATTGATAAAATGCTAGACTTATTGAAATTAAGGATTTAGACCTTCTCACTGTAATACTACAAAATTTATGTCTTTGTAAAATTTGTAACCAAATGCTTTGAGTGAAAATAGGAACAAAGCCAAGTTAATTCAACAAATTTGGAGTCATGTTAATAATGCCCATAAGTTTTATAAGTAAAGTCATGTACTTGACTTTTGAACTAGCCTTAGTCTTAAGGGAAAAAAACAGCAGTATTAATCAGTTACTACATGGACTGAGATTGAGAATAGAAGAAACTTTCCTTTTCTGATGTGTCATTCATGAAATTTTCTTCTGCTGCATCTTTCAGTTTTCGTTGTTTGGTTCTATTTTGAGCATTGGAGCTGTGCTTGGTGCAACCACCAGTGGACGTATTGCTGATCACTTTGGCCGAAAAGGGGTAACAAACATTCTGCATTCCACAATTGAAATGATATTCTACATTATGTTTGACTATCAAATACTAGATGATTTTTGTGATATTCGTTAATGAGTTGCATCGAATAATTTGTGGTGTTTTAATAAAACCAGGCTTTAGCTATGTCAACTGTTTCATGCATTATAGGATGGGTTGCAATTTACTTCTCTCGGGTAAGTGCACTCTTTATCATTTTATCTCCAATAATATTAGCTACTTTGCAATGAGATCAATCTTGCAGACTGATCACGCTGCATTCTACTCATTTTTTTAATTACTATAGGAGGCAATGTCACTTGACATTGGAAGGTTTCTCACTGGATATGGTATTGGAGTTTCCTCTTATGTGGTATGTTTTCGGCTTTTGTAAAATTGCATTGTTTCGTATACTGCTCTGTCAATATAGAGTTATATCAACATAGTATTGATGTTATTCAAATTAGGTACCTATATACATAGGTGAAATTGCACCAAAAAATCTCCGTGGAGGTTTAGGCACACTGAATCAGGTATGTTAACATGACCTTATCACTATTTAAGCTGCATAATGAAAAAAAAAAAGAATGCAGGAATAGATTCATAGTGCTTATTTTTGCAGCTTATGATCGTGATTGGAGCTTCAACTGCTTGTTTTGTTGGAACAATTGTTACCTGGCGAGTGCTAGCACTAACAGGTGATTTCTCCTCTATAACATACTCATTGAAGAGTATGAATAATAATGTTTTTTAACAGATTGAAAAGCCTTACTAATATATTAGCTTTTTCTTTTGCTTCCCTTTTATTGGCACTCTGAAGGAATCATACCGTGTATCATTCTTTTGGTCGGTCTCATTTACATACCAGAATCACCAAGATGGCTGGTAAGATGTGACTGTCATTGGCTCTTACCATATGTGCATCTGTACTGAAAAATAAATTGAAATGCAGGCAAAAGCAGGGCAAATGAAAAGGTTCGAAAGTGCACTGAGAATGCTTCGAGGGAAAGATGCTGATATTTCCACTGAAGCATATGAAATTCAGGTGAGATTCTTATATCATAATCATATTATAAGAGCACATTGATGTAAAGTGATTGTGATTGATTAACTTTCTTTCATGACAGGAATACATAGAAACTATAGAACACTTGCCAAAAGTCAGGATGCTGGATCTTTTCCAACAGAGATATAAGCGTTCAGTCACAGTGAGTATTAAGCTTAGCACCTAGATTTTTCTAATTATGAAAGAAAACCAAAAAGATCATAACTTTTCAACCTGAATCGTATTTTTGACTGAACACAACAGCTTTTCAAGAGACATATTTCGTTGATTATCAAGAAATAATCTTTGCTATTTATGTACCTCGTATAATATAGTATCATTTGCATGAAAACATCTTTTGGTTTGTAGATTGGGGTTGGACTTATGCTTTTGCAACAACTTGGTGGTGCTAACGGCATGGGATTCTATGCAAGCGAAATGTTTGTTGCTGCAGGTAAGAGAGTGGACTTACAATGTGTAAAAATGTTTCTGTTCAATAAGCTCACCAGATTGTTTTTCTATTTAGTTATTATTGTTGATTTAATTTTTCCAATCACATTCTGCAATGTCAGGTTTTCCTTCAGGCAAATTCGGAATCATAATGTATGCAAGTATACAGGTATTTTTAGATCACTGCATGACTTAGTTTGTGAAAGCTAAGATTAAATATATACTAGCAAATGAAACTAGAAAATAAATTGTTTCCTTTGCAGATACCTATAACAGCAATTGGTGCAATGCTGATGGACAGAAGTGGACGTAAACCTCTCTTGTTGGTAAGTTCAATCTTTGAAACATTCTTCATACCTATACATCAGAAAAAAAATAAATTATGATGGAGCATTCAGATTATAACTCGAATTGCAGGTTTCGTCTGCAGGAACATTTTTTGGATGCTTTTTGGTAGGATCAGCATTTTTAGCTAAGGTAATTCATAACACAATTTCTCCTACATTACATGATTGTATTATTTTGTGTTACTGATTCTAAGAGGTGTCATTGTGATACAGCGCTTTGGATTTTTTGTGACAGAGGCTCCGTATCTAGTCCTTGGAGGAGCATTGGTAATCCCTCTAATTTAAACCAATGTTATATGAATAATACGATATGTCATGTTGCTTCTGTTTCTCTGTTCCTTTTTAATAATCTGCAATTCTCTCAGCTTTACATCGGCTCATTCTCTATTGGAGCTGGAGCGATTCCATGGGTTATGATGGCAGAGGTACGACTGTATTCAAAACTTACATCCTTTGATGCCTTTACATGAAGGCGCCTTTCTGCTACTTTCATGTACATTCTGAGTTGCATTTTAAACCCTTGTGTAATTGTCTCAAAACCGAGATTGAAAAAAAGATGTATAACTGGTTAGCATGTGGCTTAACATCCAAAAACTCTTAAGTCAGATTGTATATAACAAAGGTTTGTAAGCAAAACTATATTGCAAAATGGTTGATGTATATACACCCTTTTGCATCAAACTTTGCTTGTAGTTAGACGTTTAGCACTTTCGCCACTTATGAATAAATTTTAGTTAAATTGATGTCACCTTACGGAGTCATGCTAAGTGTCAAGATGCATTCATGAGTGCAAGCAAGCCAAGAAAAAGAAAAGGGATAAAGGAAACTCAAGGTATTAGAAAGAAGGCAAGGTCTTAGTTAAAACTGCCTTACACTAACTGCGATAAAAAGAAAGTCACCCGGCCTTAGTCTCACACCCTCACAATAAGTACAGTTGTTACGTGAATCTAATATGGCGTTTTAATTTGCTTAGAAATAGGACGCAACAAATAGTGTGAATTCATCATTCGAACCATAATCTAAATGATTTTGAAGTACTCATATGGAGTACTGATAAAGCTAATGCTTATGTTAATCTTTGCAGATTTTCCCAATAAATGTGAAGGGGGTAGCAGGAGGTCTCGTCAATTTGGTGCACTGGTTTTGTGCATGGGCAGTTTCCTACACTTTTAATTTCTTCTTCAATTACAGTGCTGCAGGTACTCTGTTTAATTTATTTTTGTATGTTTAAAATTAATTATGGACTATACATTAGTTGGGTAAACATTAATGTATCTAACAAAGTTAATTTAATTTTTTTTTTCTTTTTCCAGGCACCTTTTATTTCTATGCAGCAGCTTGTGCCCTTAATGTCCTCTTTGTGGCAAAATTAGTGCCAGAAACAAAAGGAAAGACTCTAGAAGACATTCAAGTCACAATCAACCAAATAAAATAGTAATTCATATTTACTTTTTATTTTATATGTTCTTTAAATTTGAAACTTTTTTTTTTTAATGGTTGAGATGTTTTAGAAATTTAATAAAGGATGAAATTGGAGATTTTGCTCTTTTTTTTTTTTTTTTTTTTCGTACATATGACAAATTTTGAGATACATAGAGAAGCTTTAAATCTGGAAAGTGTAGAAGCTACAATAAGGCCCCAATTTTACCTATATTGAAATAAAATGTTGCTGAATTAAAATAATTTTTACAAGAAGTAATTTTCTTTGATGTTATTGATTTTTTCAGAGTAAAATTTATTTTTATCGAATAAAACTTACTCCGTGTGTTTACTTAATTACTAATAAAACCCGAATTTGCTAGTAAGTACAACTATAGCTAGTTTTAAGTTGAAGACAAACAAGCTTTATTAAGACACAAGAACTAGCCAGAACTTGTGTTAGTTGCAATAAAGCTTCCAATTTAGAATTGTTTCCAAATTTTCTGTATTTTGTGCAATACATAGCATATCTCTAACAATATAAAAATTACTCCGTATTCAAAGTATTTTATTTTTTTTGGCGGGATATTCAAAGTATTTCTTTTAAAATTGGTAATCTGTAGTAAATTTTACACACTTGTGAAAAGTCTAAAATAGTACATTTATATGTTACATATTTTTTTTTTTCATCAACTATAGACATGCATTATGCATACATTCATATTTTGCAAATGCATGTTCCAGCTCATTTCTTAACAATATGACATATAATTTGATTAATTTCATTAACATTAACGTCAATATGTCATCTTCTATCTACTATTGCCTATCAAATGGACTTGTATTTAACATAAGATTGAGACGTTGATGATCAGAAGTCCCGATCATATGATATTACTACCTTTTGACTAGTTATAGTGGGTTGGGCCATGTTTAGTTTTCTTAGAAAGCCCATTAAAATAACAAGCCATGAAGATATACTTAAGGGTAATCTTAACTCACAAGGTCCATTTTCTACTTGGTTTTTGTTAACGCTTAGGAAATCAACTATGGGGTACTCATTTTAGTTAACTACTCCCTCATCTATTCCTTTAATCTTAAACCCAGTATTATAAACATTAAAAAAAAAAAATTAAATAAATAAATAAATTTTGTACAATCTTATTAGATCCATTTTGACATGTATTTTCGATATAATACCTCTGTTTCATATTATGTGGAACATTTACAAAAAATGGTTGCTACAAATTATGTGCAACAAATGTTTTATTTCATTTACAAGTTGTCATTTCTCTCTATCTTTCTCCTTATCACATGCATTTCTATCTTTCTCTCCGTTTAACAACCACAAACAAATTATGCCTAAAATTCCATGTTAATAATGCCTTTATTGCATATTATATGAAATAGAGTTAGTATCAATTTTTTGAAATCATATATATATTCGTATCTTATTGACTTATATTCGTGGTAAAAAATGACATTGGAGACTGTAAATTTCAAAGCGTAAAGAATAAAAAGGAACGTAAGAAGTACTCCACTAATTACTTTCATATCTCTATTACTTAGTATGTTAAATTGAATCATGTAGTTCGGTGTCCACTTCAAATATCTAATATACCCTTCCTTTAATTCTATCTTATAACTTAATGTTTTCAACGCTTATTTAATACAATTTGTCATATATGTTTTTAAAACGCATATGCACGCACATAGACCTAGTATTAATTTAGAAAACAACTAAGGCTATGTTTAGTTCACCTTATTTTTTGTTTATTTGCTCTGTTCATAACATATATATTTTTTTTCTAATCTGATCTGATTGCTTGATTTTACTAAATGTTAACCTTTTATATACACTAATCCATAAGGATAACAGTATTACAAATGAGGGTTTTTTTTTTTTTTTTTTTTTGGAAAGAACAAATGAGGACATGAGGTCTTATTAAAATTTTATTAATGTTTGTTTTCTAAATATGTAAATCTCATATCTTTATTTTCATTATGGAATTAAAGATATTTAGTGATTGAAAATTGCAAATAAACGATGAAGTTTGATATGAACTTATTTTATTTGATATGGTATGATCTAAAATTATTTTTTCTAATCTGATCCAAAATAAGTGATAAGACAAATAAGGTGAGCTACACATAATTTAAGACAATACAAAATTCTTAACAGTACATTGAATTATACTAATAATCTTCTCAAGACATCTTGAAAGCTTGATTTTAGAGTTAATACTACTTCGTTGAACTAGAAGTCTATTTCTTGACTATTAATTTTTTTAAAGATTATTTATGGTAGTTAGTCAAGCAATTTTTGTGTTCAATTATCATAAAATACTAGATGGAAGTTCGTGCGATGCACGGTTTTTTCATCTATATTTAATTATTTGATTTGTTGTATTTAATAATTTCTGACAACAAAAGTTTAATATTTTTTTTTTACTATAATTTATAATGAATTTATTAAATATAAATAAATCGTAAATATGATATTTTTTCCGTTATATAAAATCTTTAATGTGAAATGATAAATTTTTAATAATTTAAATCCTAAATCATTATTCATTGTTTTACCATATCTTTTATTTCGATAGAATCACCAACCTCGTCCACAACCAACCTACTACATCAATGGATAAAAATGTTAGCCAAACTGAAATTGATATAAATTAAATCTTTACATTTATATAAAATAAATATTTACCAATAAATGAAAAATTGTTGCGATATAAAATCAAATCTATGCATTGGAATTTTTTCATCATCTCTAAAAATAACCAAAGCCATCCATATATTAAGTATATTACCTCTAATCGTATGTCATTACATAAACAAATAATTGTTAAGTATCCTAAATAAATACAATGTAACTAATAATAACAAATATAAATTTAAACATAAGATTTTAAAAATTACCCACACATTGATGACCTAAAATTCGCTTGATGGGGTATTGTATTGATACAAAATTTTATTTGTGTCGTATGATGTGTTAGATCTGCATGTAAAAAAACATTTAGTAAATAATACATAAACATATAATCGTTGAGTATCCCAAATTAGTATAATGTAAGAAATAATTAGAAATACTAATTTAAACATAGGATTTTAAAAATTAAGCTAAAAATTACCCGACCATTGATGACCAAAAATTAACACAAAATTATTAACACAAAATTCGCTTGATGGGGTTTTTTATTGATACAAAATTTTGTTTGTGTCGTATGATGTGTCAATTTATAATGGTAGGTATCACAAATTTTAATTTAATTATAATTAACAAACAATTTGTATTTCTTATCATAAATACTATCAAAATTTATCTTATATGATAGGTTTCAAACTTTATTATAAGCGTTTATCATTTAAATATTTTTTAGTATATTTTTTTTGGATTTCTTATACTCGTAGTATTGAATTAATAAATTTATCTTTTCCTATATTTTTACTTTATTTTTTTTCATTAAAATAATTTAATTCGTGGATTATAATCTACGTGGCATTAAAATTTTAGATATATCAAATCTAATTCGTTACTTTTATCTAGGTGGTGATGCACGGTTTTTTTTTCATACATAAATCTCAAGAAAAGATATTTTCCTATAGACTCTAAGTTTATATATATATAAAATTATATGATTTATTTTACTATTTAATAATTTTAGACAAAAAAAACACATAATAATTTAATTAAAGTGTTATTGCCTATTACAAAAGTATAATTTTAATTTTTTTTATAATGTAATTTATTATGCGGCTTTATTTATTGTTGTTTTGTATTTTATTCGTTGTTGTTAGTTATATGACAACTGAATTTAATAATATGAATAAATTGTAAATATGATATCTAAAAAAAAAATTGTAAATATGTTTATCGATTACATATTAGGTTAAAATCTTTAATGTGAAAAGATAAATTTTTTTTTCATTTTTTGAATAATTTAAATCCTAAATCATTATTAGTTGTTTTTTTAAAAAATAGAAATAATAAAATATAATAAAAATATGTATACTATTTATCTTCTATTTCAATAGAATCACCTACTTCGTTCACACCCATATCTCTTCCATCTAATAAAAGTGGATAAATAAAACATGTTAGCAAAAAATAAATTATATAAAATTAACCGTTATAGTCTTGTAAAATAAATCAATATATTTACCAAAAAGTGAAAAATTGTTGTGAAATTGATCTAAAAATTGTAATCGTACAAAATCAAATCTGTCAATTGGATTTTCTTCATCGTCCCTAATCGCCCGAACAATAGTATTTTTGAAAATTGAATCATTATTTTGTTGTCACTGACAATGCGTGCAATATTGTTTCTTATTTGTAACGAATGAAAAGTATTTAATTGAGTAAACTTTCTTTCAAATAATTTTGGACGAATTGTACAAAGTTGGCTTTAATTGAGGTATGAACGTAATCAAAATTAAGTTAATTTGATGACTTGATTAAGCTACCTAAATCACAAAAAATTTGTTCTAATCATAAAATTAATTAATATAAACTACAAAGGTTTATAATTTTTTTTAATAAATGTAAACAATTTATAAAGATATAATACCTTCTCATCCAATATGACCATCAGGCGAGAAACTCGTACTTTGATTTTCCAATCATTTTTGCTCGAATCTAATTCTCTGATTAAATCAGATCTGCGTGTAAAAATAAAATTTAGTAAAATATAAACATATAATCGTTAAGTATTCCAATTAAACACAATGTAAGCAATAATCACAAATATACATTTAAACATGGATTTTAAAAATTAAGCTAAGAATTACTCAGCCATTGATGACTAAAACTGACACAAAATTCGCTTGATTTGGTTTTGTATTGATACGAAATTTTGTTGGTGTTGTATGATGCGTCAATTTATAATGGTATGCATCACAAATTTTAATTTATTTATTATTAAGGAATAATTTTTATTTCTTATCATAAACACTATCAAGATTTATCTTAGATATATAAATCCTATATCTAAAGATGATTTTTTTAAAATAATTTTTAGTTTTTTAAATAAATTAAATCCTAATAAATCACTATTCGTTGTTTTAACTACGTGGCAAAATTCTTAAATCTCATTCGTCACTTTTTCTTAGGTGACGAGTGAATTTTTTAATTCTAAAATAAAATACAAATCTAATTTTTAATTGGTTGAAATAATACCTTTGCTTATGTGGCGCGCCGACCTCTCGAAAAATACCTACTTTATTTATATATATATTAGATTAGATTAATAAAAAAATTGATGATACATAAAATAGGATATTTGTTTTAGGAAAGCATAAAATAGGATATTTTTATCAAA